TTTTTTCCCACGGGCTTTACTCCATTTGCATTATCATGGTTAACTCTACTTTGAGGAGGCAGCTCTTCCCCAGTCACATTTTGAGTGACTTCCAACCTGAGGGGCTCATTTTCCAGCACTATATCTGACAGTGTTTCTCTGCTATTTATAAGGTATTCAGTGACTAAATATTCGGAAGTAGTTCGTCACTCCTTCTTCCTAGTCTCTTTTCTGGAAGCTCATCTAGAACCTGTCCACCATGGGTGACCCTGCTAGTATTTAAAATACTGGTGCCATAGCTTTCAGCAATTCACAAGCCACCACAGTACAACAAACTGACAGACAAGTGGTAGAGGAATCCTTAAAGAGTTTGAAAAAGACTATAATTCCCTCCAGGGAGAGGGAGGTAGAGGATCATCTTAGAGTCTACTGCTCACACCCTGAGCCAGGCACTGTGACATTCTGGACAGAAAGAACCAAAGGGGAGTGAAAAAAATATTGGGTGAGCCACTGGTTATCCTGCAGTAGAAAACACTGGAGAATCTAGCTAAGACTAGATCCATCAACTTCAAGGAAAACCCAAACTCCCAAGAAGGGCACATAAAATACCTTCCTGGTCTGTCCTGTTTTCCAGCCCTGATTAACTGTCACATCCTACACCTTAAATCCCATGGCCCTTAAAGAGCCTCAGTTGTGCCATATTCCCTCACAGCTGAGTTCACACTGGAACTCTCCACCCCACTTTTATTCCCTCCCCTTTCCCCCAACATACCTATTTCAAGTCTTACACTGGCTGGGTAACTCCAAACTCATCCTCAGACCCCAGCTTAGATGCCATTTCCATGGAAAGCATCCCCCATCTGAGTTAGATGCGTATCCACTGTGCTCTCTCAGGTGGTAGCACTTCATGCACTGTGCCACAATTTCTGGTTTACTTGTCAGTAGCATCCACTGGTCTGTGAGCCTCAGAAGAGCAGGAGTGCCTGGTCCATCATTGTTTAGCATGGTATCTGGAATAAAGACAATCTACACTTACAGGAAAGGACCTCTGGTAGCGTAGTGGTTACGAATCAGGCTGTGAACTTTAAGGTCAGCAGTTCGAAACTACCAGCTGTTCCATGGGAGAAAGATGAGGCTTTCTGCTCCCATAAAGATTTACAGCCTCAGAAACCCTGTACAGGGTCGCTATGAGTAGGAATTGACTCCACAGCACATAACCAACCAACCAACACCTATAGGAAGGAGTCCAGTGGAGTGTTGAGAAACGCCCTGGGGGTTTAAATTGCTGAGAAGACTAGGACCCTTGCAGGAAAAGAATAAGGGAAAACAGAAAGGATAAAAAAGAGACTGAAGTACAGCTCAGTTATTTTCTTTTTAACCATATGCCTCCTATTCACCATTGCTCCCCTTTATTAGTAAGGAAACACTTCTTTCCACCATTCAGAATGTTAGAGGGAAGGTTTGGAATTCTGTACCACCTGTTGAGGATTGACCAAGAAACTTGTCTATTATGATTAACATTATTTCCATAGATAATTATTTACAAATAAGCTTTGGAATCATCACCAGTTACTAAGCCAGAAACTGCCTACTATCTGAAAAACTACTTTCTTAAATGTACTATAGAAGTTACATTCTAACAGAGATGTTTAATATGAGCATTCAGAATTATTTGTTATTCGCTTTAGAAAAAAAAAAAATGTGCATTTGGCGAGAGAAAGTAAATACATGAGTAAGTTTTATACAGGGCTTTGGTCTTTCCCTTCTAAATGTTGGTAATGATTTGACTCACAAATCTGTACTACTTTGCAGGTATTTAATGGATATTTTGTCCACTTCTTTGCTCCTGAAAATCTGGAACCAATTCCTAAAAACATCCTCTTTGTCATTGATGTCAGTGGCTCGATGTGGGGAATTAAGATGAAACAAGTAAGCAATCTTTCCTTGTTTACAGTGGTATGTGGGATTCTCTACATTTTTTTTTAATCACCTCCCCAAAATGCAACCATTCCAAGCTCCCTCCCCCTTTAGGGCGATCACTCAGTGACCGATTACTAACAATGTGAAATCTTTAGATTATTGTATGTTAAGAGATGTGCACATCGATCTGCTAATCATCACTCATGTCTAAAATTCCTATCCTCATCTCTTCCTTCCCTGCTTCTCCTTCTCTTCATTCCCCTGTTTTTCACTGAATAGCCACTATTTCCTTGCAAAACTAGCTCAACACTTACCTCCTTGAAAGGTTTCTCTGTGAATTCTCTTCTCACTCTAATCACGCGTCTGCTCCACGTTCTTTCAGTTCTTTTGCATGTCTTTATGTCTTAACTTAATACCATGCCTTTGTTGAAAACAGAACTTGCTAATAGTTACATGCACATCTTTTTCTAGAAATATTGTAACTCCTGTGGGTAGCTATTCTGTATCATGTCTTCCAATTCTTTTATATTCCTAAAATTTTTATTGAAATAAAAATTTCAAATATAAGTTCAGAATTCAATATAAGCTAATGCAGATGTTAAATGATATAAGTGCAATTCTAAACAACAATGAAATTTCTTCATTTATCCATCAATCCATCCAGTAAAACAACCAATTACTCATTCATTCAACAAGTATTGGCCACTTAAGTATTTGCTATACTTCCAGGATTTGTAGGGAATCCAATATAAGTAAAAGACCTGGATCTTTTCCAATTGTGCTGTACTCCAACAGAAAGTTTCTCACTTAGTGACCCTACAGACATTTTGGACTGGAGAATTCTTGGTTGTGGGAGTTGTCCTGTGCATTGTGAAATGTTTATCAGGATCTTTGTCATCCTTAGATTCCAGCAGCACATTCTTATTGTGTGCTGTCAAGTTGGTTTCAACTCACAGTGACCCCATGTGCAATCAAATGAAACACTACCAAGCCCAATGTCATCCTCACATTGTTGTCATGTTTGATCTCATTGTTGCAGTCACGTGTCAATCCATTTCATTGACAGTCTTCCTCTTTTTCACTGACCGTCTATTATACCAAGCATGATGTCCTTCTCCAGGGACTGGTCTCTCCTGATAACATGTCCAAAGTAGGTGAAATGAAGTCTCTAAGAAGTATTCTGTCAACATTGTCAAATATCACCCAGGGAGCAAAGCTGCACCAAGTTGAGAACTAGCACTCCCATACAACACCTTATCCACTTATTCCTTCCTTCCTTCATTTATTTAACAAATACTATTAGGCAGCTAAGGAGCTCTGGTAACGAAGTGGTTACGAATTGGGCTGCTAACCTCAGGGTCAGTAGTTTGATACTACCAGCTGTTCTGTGGGAGAAAGATGAGGCTTTCTGCTCCCATAAAGATTTAAAGCCTTGGAAACCCTGTACAGGGTTGCTTTGAGTCAGAACTGTCTCCATGGCACATAACAACAACAACAATCTTTATGGAGTCCTGGTGTGGCACTGTGAGTTAATGTGCCAGAATGCAAAGCCATTTGAACTGCAGGGTTGGTGGTTCAAGCTTACCAGCTGCTCCTTGGAAATCCTTTGCGGGGTTGCTATGGGTTGAACTATGTGGATTCCGACCCATAGCGACCCTGTATAGGATTACCAGGAGAAGCTGGTGAGCTTGAACTGCTGACCTTGCAGTTCAAATGACTTTGCAGTCTGTTGCATTAGCCCACAGCGCCACACCAGGACTCCAACAACAAATTAGGCAGCTACTATGTGTCATCAATAAACAAAACAAAGCTAAAAATTATCCCTACCTTTATGGAGTTTATATTCTAGTATTAGATGGGGTTAGAGTAGGGGGACTAGAGAATGAAAATAAGCATAATAAGAAAAGTTCAAAGTGTGTTCAATGTTGGTACTATGAAACAGGTATTTGTTTTGTTTTTGTTGTTGCTTTTTTTCTTTAAGAGTAGAGTAATAAGAATTGAGAATGTTAATTGCAAAGGGATGGAGTTTTAAACAGATTTGTCATTTAGCTGGTGGTTTCATTGTGAAGACTTTTAAGGAAACCCTTAAGAACAGAGTGGATAGTTGCACGCATACATGGGAGAAAACTGTTGTGGGTCAGGAACAGCCAGTGCAGTGGTTTTCAATCAGAAGCATGCCAGGCATGCGAAGGGGAGAGAAGTTTAGCATGGCCAGCAAGAGTTTGGAGGACAGCTGCAGGAGTTAAAATCTGAGCAGTAAGGGGCAGGGGCCGATCCTGTAGTCTTTCAGGCCATTATCAGTTTGGCTTTTACAAAAAGCTACTGACAGCTCCCTGGTGGCATGATGGTTAAACGTGCAGCTGCAAAATGAAAGACTGGAGGTTGGAACCTACTGGGTAATCTGCACCCATAAAAATATCTTGTTGTTGTTAAGTGCCATCAAACTGCCAACCTGGCGATTCAAACTGACCTTAAGGTCCAGTGCATTATCCTACAA